GTTAGAAAATTGAATATATTATTAAAATTCTTCTTCTATGGTTCTATATTAAACGCCTAACTGTCTTTACATGTTAGAAAATTGAATATATTATTAAAATTCTTCTTCTATGGTTCTATATTAAACGCCTAACTGTCTTTACATGTTAGAAAATTGAATATATTATTAAAATTCTTCTTCTATGGTTCTATATAAAACACTTAACTGTCTTTACATGTTAGAAAATTGAGTATATTATTGAAATTTTTCTTCTATGGTTCTATATTAAACGCTTAACTGTATTTACATGTTAGAAAATTGAATATATTATTAAAATTCTTCTTCTATGGTTCTATATAAAACACTTAACTGTCTTTACATGTTAGAAAATTGAAGATATTATTAAAATTCTTCTTCTGTGGTTCTATATAAAACACTTAACTATCTTTACATGTTAGAAAATTGAATATATTATTAAAACTCTTCTTCTATGGTTCTATATTAAACGCTTAACTGTCTTTACATGTTAGAAAATTGAAGATATTATTAAAATTCTTCTTCTATGGTTCTATATTAAACGCTTAACTGTCTTTACATGTTAGAAAATTGAATATATTATTAAAACTCTTCTTCTATGGTTCTATATTAAACGCTTAACTGTCTTTACATGTTAGAATATTGAAGATATTATTAAAACTCTTCTTCTATGGTTATATATTAAACGCTTAACTGTCTTTACATGTTAGAATATTGAATACGTTATTAAAATTCTTCTTCTATGGTTCTATATAAAATGCTTAACTGTCTTTACATGTTAGAATATTGAATACGTTATTAAAATTCTTCTTCTATGGTTCTATATAAAACATGCTTAACTGTCTTTACATGTTAGAATATTGAATATATTATTAAAATTCTTCTTCTATGGTTCTATATTAAATGCTTAACTGTCTTTACATGTTAGAAAATTGAATATATTATTAAAATTCTTCTTCTATGGTTCTATATCAAATGCTTAACTGTCTTTACATGTTAGAATATTGAATACGTTATTAAAATTCTTCTTCTATGGTTCTATATCAAATGCTTAACTGTCTTTACATGTTAGAAAATTGAATATATTATTAGAATTCTTCTTCTTCTGTGGTTATATATCAAACAGTTAAGATGCTTTAGTATCTGACATAAAACATTATACTGTTTATTCACAGTAACGCTCCAAATGTGAAGATAGCTGGTAGAACATTCTAAATGTTAGTTTCTGTGGTTTGATATTCTGTTGTTTGGTTAGAAAATACCAGTTTCTTAACATATCAGCACTAGAATAGGCTTCACATTTTCTGAAATTATTTATAAGTTTTATTACAAGAATGCTAAATAAAGATATGGGACTGAGTTGGACAAGACGAACCCCCTGAGGCAGTTGATCTGGCTACCCCACCTATATATTATAGATACGCCACTGCAAATACCTATATAAGCCATACTGATCATTATCATATATTAATACTGAAAATTTTCCAAATCATAGTTAAACATTTTGTTTATAAAGTTCAGAAATGAATAACTGTCAAAAAACAACTTTTTTATGGCAGTTGATTCAAAGTTAAAGCTATATACAACAGAATATACATATATATATGTACACAGACACACATACAAATGTTTCAGGAGCATGATAATAAACTTTAATCACATCTGTTGATCAACATATATATACAAACTTCCAAAACCAAGCTACTATCAATAGGACGTTAACTTAACAAAAGAACTTAACACTTCAATTATTCACCATGGTGACTATTTATATAACTTAATAAAATTCCTAATCTAACAATTGCATGATCTTTCTGGAAAACCATTAACACCAGAATAATTTATTGTATTTTTTGCTACATCATACAGGTACCCAACGTCAACATCACAACACTTTAGCTGTCGTTGCTAAGCAAGGTAGGTGCCTGACTACAACACCACAACAGATGTCTTGTTATGTAAAGCAGGTGCGTAACTGCAACTTTACAATAAAAGCTGATAGAAAAGGTAAGTATCTGATATCTGAATTCATAGCAAACCTAAATAGAGAGAGAAAAAATTCAAACAGCACATCAAAAGAAGGAATAGGAAGAATTGTGAAAACACTGAAAGTACAATATGTAAAATAACTCATCACAAGAAACTTTGGATAGTGGAATTGAGGGTGGAAGATAGAGGTGGGGATAAATAATTGGCTTTTTTGTGTAGGAATAAAAGTGTAAAATGTGCAGATTTCCAATACCAACTTCCTTGAGGGCTTTAAAACTCTGAAACATTGTATCATCTTGGAAACTGTAGATCCTCCAGAAACGGAGCCGTTTAAGCTAAACACCATACCGCTGGATTATCTACAACTAACTCTTTGAGATAATTTCGTCTTGGTTGTGCAGAAATTTTCACCAGAAGAGATTTTGTAAGAGTAAAAATATTAATACAAATTTACAACCTGTAATTAAAACGAAATGAGACAGAGCCTATCAAGAAGATACAACGCTCTTAAAGCAAGAAACAAAATTCTGCCATTCCTCAGGGGTGAAAAAAAAATTGACAGGTTTACAACACAAGTTGACATGATCCATTGGTTCAGATATTATTTCTCAGTTGAGTTGCCAAGCAGCATGCAGTAAATACTCGTGAAAAAATAATATCTATTACACGAGGATACTAAATTTTACCATATAATTAATGTTCTTATCTCATATTTTAGAAATTCTTAACAAAGGATTTAACACAAAGGAAAACTTTTCCAGTACTCGTAGTGATCTAATTCCTTCGTGAAAATCCTAGAAATAGATCTAGTTTCCTCGTGTATCAAGGTTTATAAATGGGTTCTCGAGAATGTTCCAGAGATTATAATCGTTGTTGGAAGTCGCATCATGACTTGCAGTGAAGATGCGGAAGTTAAAACACACGATTCTTAAATCCAAGCAAATAAATAAAACGAAAGCGTTATGATAAAGCAGAAAATTAGAAACCATGCAGTAAACATTGCTATTCTTTATCATATAAATTAATATCAAAGTCTGAAATACGAACTATAAATGGAAATAAAAGTACACATACAGATGTTTACGGAACTAATCTGTTGTAAAACACACTGCCCCACCAGATGTATCTGGACAGCCAGTTGTTCAGCACGGGAATTCAGAGAATAAAAATATAGTATACACATCATATACGTAGATTAGTGATGCTGAAGTGTGTGAAGATGCAAAAAATAAAAACAAATCATAAATTATGCACATTTAACAGAAGAGATGATATATGGTGCTGTAAGTATGAGAAGCCTATTCGTGAAACTGTCTTAACACTCAGCCACGCGTGTTAAACATCGCATAAGAACACTAGAAACGCGATAGTACAACTTATAAAAAAAAAGTTCACAGCTGCAGAGAGCGCAACTAGAGTGACAAAAAAAATTCAATTCTTAGAACTGCGAAACATATTTTAGAACAAATCCACGGTGATCTTACTGTACAATATAATGATTTTACCTCATATTTTAGAATTTTTGAATGAAACATTTAACACACACCCAAAAAGAAAAACTTTTTCACTGCGCGTATTGATATCATTTCGTTGCGATAATTTTATAAATACAACTTTCCTCGCACATGGGTTTTCTAGTATGTTCCAGTGATTATAATCATGGTTTGAAAGTTGCTTCATCAGGACTCTTACAGAACAAGTCGACACGATAAGAATGAAGCCGTAATGGTGGAACATTGTTTGGATTAAATTAATTATTTATGGAGCACTGTGGTCGTTTTCACTAATAATCTAGTTATGCAATGTCCAAAATATTCCAATCAGCACAACAAAATCTAGAGAAAGTCCAATATGAATTGTTCCAGCAAGATAGTATAACAAAGCATGTACGACTTATGTTTGGCTTCAAAGTAATAATATTAATTTCTGGATGCGATCTGTTGATACTATACAATATCTATGAGACAACCTAAAGAGGTTAATTCGAAAAGTTACAGCTCTTTACACAACATTGCCAGATCACATCAGAGAGCTATGAGGACCTAGATGGAAGCCATACTTCGCACGATACAAGCAGTTATTAAATTCAAGGATAATATTAGTGACAACTGGAACCTACTCTCGTTCACATGTCTAGATACTTCCGACAGGGCAGTGTATATTTTAACTTTCTTCGTAAAGTAAAGTAAAAACAATTGTTTTAAATTCAAATAGTACGAGTATAAAACCACGATGAATTTAGTTTCAAAACGAAGCGACATATTTCACGTTTCTAAAACCCCAGTTTAATAAACCATCTTACTTTTCAAGCTACTTTTTACGTAAACCAAATTCTAGTTACACACATTTTCTACGATAAGGAATATAACTACAAAATAAACTGTTTCTGTAAACAAGCAAACAACAAAATAAATTAAACAAGCAACCTAAAAACACTAATAAATCTACTTACTGGGATGACCCACTGTTTATACTGTTAACACTACTGGTCAAGGAATCTCCGCTTGTCTGTTTAGATAATGGCGATTTTTGGTGTGAAACTAAAGATCCCGTGAGACTACCATTACTTCTCCTACCAGAATCTTCTGTAAAAACAAGATATATAACAGTCCATGCACAGGAACTTTGTCGTCCTTGAAATTAAACTAGAGGGGGCCTCACTAAAATATCCTGAAAAAAAACAAACAAAAAACGGCATATTTCACCAAACAAAAACTAACCCCGGATTGAATTGCACAGTCTTCTTGGATCTTTCTACATACTTGTTGATAGTGCGGAATTTCCATAAAGGGTCAGGTCAAGCAAGATAACTGGATCGGTGCGAAGTATGTCTTCTTAAAGATTTTTTTTTAATCCAAAAGTGGTATTAAGCGATGGAAGTATTCAAAAATGAAAACTTTGTTCCATATTGTTGTCGTATGATGCGATACACTAGATCTCTTCAGGCTGTATGAGTTCTTGACATGCTCCGCAGATGTCATCTAGTTGAAAATCATTCTTGGATTAAAAACAGCCTGTTCATTATGAGGTTAAACCAAAATTTAATCAGTTGCTAGGGTCAACCATATTGCCACTGGACATAACTAGAAGCTATCGTTTCTTTCCACTTTTAATAACACAGGAACCACGAGATTTCAAGATTGAAATAAACACCAACAACAGGATTCTGCAGATCACATTAGTGTGTGTTTCTTATAGCAGAGCCACATTGTACTATATGCTGTGTCCACCGAGGGGAATCGAATCCCTGATCTTAGCGTTTTAAATCCGAAGACTTACCGCTGTCCCACCGGGGGCAGATCACATAGGAACTGGCTATCTTTTTCAGCACTTCAGTTTGAACGTATTCCATTATAACCTTGATTAATTGTATTTGTGGTTCGCATCAAAATAATTATGATGCTACTAAGTGCTAGGGCAAACAAATAAAGATGAATTTAAAATATAACGCTTTCAAACCCAAAGTCATATGAATATACAGTGGCTATGGTTCTGTTTTATTGTGCAGCAGTCCTTGGAGGCGACCACAACTCAGCGGATCGTAATGTGTTTTGAAAGTTAATGGGCTGTGAAGTGTAAAAGGTTATAAGGGCTGAAAGGTGAAAGATATTGAGAAAGGAAGACTAAAAAATTGACATAATAATAAAATAAAAAATAACATGAGCAAGGAAATTTAGAAATAATTTGGTTTGAGGAATAAGCATGAAGAGAAACAAACTTAAATGGGGATGAACAGGTAGGTGTTAGCGGTAAAAAAAAAGCCCTGCTGAAGTCGTTAGATGGAAAGCAAAGAAAACTACCATCTATGATTTTCGCTGACAAGTGGTAGACTAGTGAAAATTTAAAACAATTATAGATGAGCAAAAAAAATGTATCTCGAAAAATGAATATATCTATCTACATATGTATATCTTTTAAATATGGATATATATTTATACATATGTATATCTTTTAAATATGGATATATATTTATACATATGTATATCTTTTAAATATGGATATATATTTATACATATATATATATATATTAAATGTGGTTATATCTATATACATATACATATATATCTTATAAATATGGATATATCTATATACATATACATATATATCTTATAAATATGGATATATCTATATACATATATATATATATCTTATAAATATGGCTACATCTATATACACATATATATATATTTTAAATATGGCTACATCTATATACACATATATATATATCTTTGAAATATGGATATATCTATATATACATATATATATATATATTTTAAATATGGATATATCTATATATACATATATATATTTTAAATATGGATATATCTATATATCTATATATATATATATATTTTAAATATGGATATATCTATATACATATATATCATGTATATATGTGTTTTAAGCACAAAGTTGTAGAATGGGTTATCTGTACTGTGCGTTACGCGGATATTGAACCCCGATTTTTAGCGTTATAAGCCCTAAAACTTACCGCTGAGCCATCAGGGAGTCATAGGCTCATGGCTAGATAATATAAATATTTCTCTTTGAATAAGTCAAAATAAACAGTAATACTAATAGTTCAAGTTCTAATTCGAAATGACTAGTTTTTGTCACATAATAATAATTTTCTATTAAACTGTTTTATAGTATCTCTTATTAATAAATATTTTTTCTCATGTAATTGAAAGATTTATTATTGTATTTTTTCAAAGAACTGAACTGGTGCCATGAAATTTTAAAAATTAGCAATCCTTAACTTGAACTATATTGAAAACCAGGGTAAAATTCATATTAGAAAGATTATTAGTGCAAATCGTTCCAGTTGATTACAACAAAAGAAAAGAGCTTTATATATGCAAGTTATTTAACCAGTATTTTGTTGCAGTATGTGTAAACAGTCGTTTATTTTAAGCGTTTTGATAATTTACTGGTCAAACGAAAATGTGAAATTGAAATGGTGTGTAATAAGTTCTTTTATACATTTTACTTAATTTCTAGGTACAATATTTACATATTTCTTTTTTTGTCATTTTTAGGCAAACACGTTGATGAAAATACGTGTGAAGCTATACAGACAGTTTTGAAGACATTTAATTATTTCTTTGCTTTCCACACGGCTTCAACAAGCGCTATATTACTACAGAGATCCGGCCTCCAAATAACTGACTCAGTAGGGATGGACTTACACTGGGACATCCCCAGCCAAACTGCTCTCTCCATCAGATGATACACTGCTGGGAGGATTCACCAGATGGCGACACTCTATAGGGGCAATCTCTTCGCTTCGATGCACGTTCAGAGGTGTGGTACGCTTTCGACGAAAACGTAAACGTTTTCGATGGCCTTACATGTAAGAATGTAATAATTGTATCAAATTCATTTTTATTTTTAACGAAACGCTACCAAAGATCTCTAAACATTTTAAACAACGCACTCAAAAGCCTGACTCAACCACAACACGATATTTAATAATATAGTGCAGTGAATAACACGTTAAACACGAAAGTCTAAGTTAGGCAAGGGCTCAATTACTTCTTTTGTTGTTAATTTTTATTTTGGTTTTGACAGAACATTAATGACATTTTATTGTCTTAAAATTCAAGGATGAAACAAATATAATCAAAATTATGTTATTACTTTTTTAATGAACGATCTAGACTATTTCTTCAACCTTCATCAAATTACTGATCCCGGTTTCAGGGGTTCAGAAAATACTGTTTATTTATCAAAGTCCCATATAATAAAATGCTTAAAAAATGTATTTAGAAAAACAATTTGATGCACATATAGAAACGTTCACTAAATACCAAACTAGCATAATATGTTTAGAAAACTCAATATAGATAAACATAAAACCCATCAACTGTGGTAAAACAAATCTTTCAATGTTTAGAAAACTCAATATAGATAAACATAAAACCCATCAACTGTGGTAAAACAAATCTTTCAATGTTTAGAAAACTCAATATAGATAAACATAAAACCCATCAACTGTGGTAAAACAAATATATAAAGGTCAGGTTAATCTTGAAATTTATTTGGTAATTCACTAACCTTTCATTTATGTACCAAGTTAGTGTCGTTGACGAGGAATGATTTCGTTAAAAAATGTTCATTCCATTAATAACATTAATACATATAATCAATGTTTATAGAATAAAAATATTCGGTGTCTACAAAATGTCCAAAACACCTTTTTTGCTATCACTTCTTTGTAACAGAAAAAAATATATACACTTTCAAAACACATCTTTTTTAAAACATTTTCAATATAATGAACGTAGAATAAATTAATATTTTGAATATTTCATACTTTAATTATATTACACAGTGATTGAATTCAAAGTTAGCTTAAAAAGTTGTTGTTTACTGCGTACAACACAAGTTGACAATACCCATATCCGAAAATCAATGAATGAATGAATATGTAGTTCACTAATTAGATGTTCATGCTGGGTCTTTACTTCATAACAATGAAATATATATAGTGGCTCGTTCATTACACTTGGTCTTCGTGATACACTCACTAGACCTCTAGGCCTGGTCTTCACCCTATTACACTTACTAGACCTCTAGGCCTGCCCTTCACCCTATTACACTCACTAGACCTCTAGGCCTGGTCTTCACCCTATTACACTTACTAGACCTCTAGGCCTGCCCTTCACCCTATTACACTCACTAGACCTCTAGGCCTGCCCTTCACCCTATTACACTCACTAGACCTCTAGGCCTGGTCTTCACCCTATTACACTCATTAGACCTCTAGGCCTGGTCTTCACCCTCTTACACTCACTAGACCTCTAGGCCTGGTCTTCACCCTGTTACACTCACTAGACCTCTAGGACTGGTCTTCACCCTATTACACTCACTAGACCTCTAGACCTGGTCTTCACCCTGTTACACTCACTAGACCTCTAGGACTGGTCTTCACCCTGTTACACTCACTAGACCTCTAGGACTGGTCTTCACCCTATTACACTTACTAGACCTCTAGACCTGGTCTTCACCCTATTACACTCACTAGACCTTTGGGCCTGGTCTTCACCCTATTACTCTCACTAGACCCCTAGGCCTGGTCTTCACCCTATTACACTCACTAGACCCCTAGGCCTGGTCTTCACCCTATTACACTCACTAGACCTCTAGGCATGGTCTTCACTCTATTACACTCACTAAAGCACTAAGCCTGGTCGTCACCCTATTACTCTCTATTATATATTCTTGGCAAAATCCAAAGTTCAACCATATTCTAGTATCTGAAAATATTGTACCATATTTTGTTGGCACAATTCAAAGCCAAACTATAACTAAATCTGAAACTTTTCTATCATATATTCTTGTCGGAATTCAAAGGCCAACTATAATGCATTTTTGTATGCATTTTTCTGCAAAATAAGAATAATGTTTATTTAATTAGTTTTGAATTCAATTGAATATAATTAGTCATTTCAAACTTCCACGTAAGAAAACTATCTAAAGGTGAAAAACACGATTCACTTATCACACTGTACATAATCTAAAACTCTGTCAGAGAGTGTCAAAAGAAACCTCCTTGAATCTTTCACACATAGAACAACCAGAGTGGCTGGCCCAGTAAATGTTCAGGACATTCATCCATTCCGCTACACATCTATGTCAGTTATCCAAAGTTATAACCATCAATAATATTAATTTGACAACAACATGACTTACTGGTCAACTTGAAACGTACACCAGAAAACCCCAACTTTATGCCAGCTACTTCTTCAAAACCCTTGTAAAATTTACATCATTCAAACTTTTGAAACTTTTGACTAACCTCAAAAGGACTTAAACAAAAAATGGCAAATTAGAAAGAAAATAGCATTAATATCTAATACGATCCACCTAATACATATGATGGTAAATATTTCAAATATCAAATGAAAAAAAAATGAAGAAATGAAAGATCCTTGGTACTTCTTTAACATTAGAGAAATAATTCTAACAATATTTGATATTTCGATAATAGAAGCACCCGCTAGAAACTAAAATATGACAATAGTATGTGATTCCAAACATGTGATAGGATATCTTAAAAATGTTAAATATAAAGTTATACAGAGTTAAAGAACCAAATCCAGGATAAGACATTTGTTTTTACTTTTAGGATAATATTTCCACCTTCTTACTAACAATACAATTATATTTTTTTACTTTCATTTGTATCCAGAAAAAAAAAACAAACTCAAATAAAAGTACCAGATTCTGAAAATTAGGCTACCTGTAGCACTCAACTGTGACGTGCTGCTGCTTTTCTGGGAAAGTCCTACAAACTGGATGGCTTTACCTCCCTTTGTGATCTTCCCTCCACCGGTCTGTTGTAATATGTCACTCCTCTCAGTAATGGAACCAACCGCCGTGTCTGACAGGCTTCCATCACCTTTGTCATCACTTTCCCCATCAATACTCATACTCTGTACTAATGGGCCTCTTCTTCCGGGCCGAGGAGGGTGAACAGGTCCATAACCCTGCATTCTCGATGTAAACTCGCTATAACAAATGAATAATAATATAAACGTCATATATGTAATAATGGAAATAATTATGGAAACATACTTGCAATATGTGTTATACAAGAGTCATAAGCAAGAACTAATTGGAATTAGATGGTGAATTTATTAACGGCACAAAACGTAATCGGATAAAATAGAAAAGCGAATAAACTGTATAATGTACTGACAGTCTGTAACTGATTCGATTGTTTTACACAAGAGATTACACCTTGTTGATATTCAGTTTATTAAAGTACGATTGTTGAATATTGTTACAAGTGCCCTGTATTGTTGAATATTGTTACAATTTGTTTATCCGTAATCGGATAAAATAGAAAAGCGAATAAACTGTATAATGTACTGACAGTCTGTAACTGATTCGATTGTTTTACACAGAGATTACACCTTGTTGATATTCAGTTTATTAAAGTACGATTGTTGAATATTGTTACAAGTGCCCTGTATTGTTGAATATTGTTATAAGTGCCCTGTATTACTCTCCATAATCCAGTCCAGTTCTTTGATCGCCTATTAACTTTCTCAATTTTTACATAATAAGCTCATACAGTCTCAATAACATTCATATGTATACATATATATATATAATAAAAAGGTATTTTACTTCTCGAAATTTACAAACGTTGAACTAATTGAAATAAATATAATTGTTAAAAGGATAATAATCCAAATCTATTCTAAAGTCAATACATATTCTTTCTATATGTATATAAAATATCCGATATAACTAGAAAGTCAGAATATATGTGCTGTGTTTTCTTATTTTTTTAACAGTAATTTCTTTCTCAGAAAATATTATCTCACGGACTATTAAATAATTATCTGGCCGCTAGATGGCAAGTTGTGATAAAAAAACAAACAAACCTCTAACGATATCTAGCTATACCTCCACTCAAAAGTTCATCAATAATATTTACAAACCACTTCAAAATGCAGAATTTGATATTAATTTTATTCACCATTTTCTGGCAGGAAAAAAGTTAAGTAACGCTATTTTTCAGCTCACTTGTTTCTTATAAATCATAACCAATACACTTAGATATACCTCAGTGTTCGGCTACCCTTAGACTGTGTAGAGAAGGCACTGCTGAGACTAAACTTAGAAGCTGAGCTGGTTTCAGACTCGTCACTCTCCACTCCTTCTTTTTCCGGACTCGCTATTTGTCCAGCACGTGAATTCCTTTTGTCAGGTGCAGAATGGCTGCCCCTGAGGTTACTGTCACGGGCGTGGCTCCCTCTATAAGGATGAGCATGGAGCTGCTTCTCGAAAGAGTGAGTTGGAGACATTTCTCCATCGGAATATCTACCAGCTAACGAATGATGTAAAAGAAAAACCGTGAATAAAACAAATATTAAAATAGACAATACAAAGAATAAATAAAGCGGTGCTAATGAAATTAAATATAGTTGTTCAAACATTTGTTTAACAAAAAGTAAAAACTTGGAATGGTCTATTCTTTCATTGGGGTGTGTCTGTGAGCCAGACTAGTTTCGGAGAATTCCACTCTTCATCAGTGATCCTGGACACTACCACCAAATCAAGTCTTTATATTAGTGAGGTATCGAAAATCGAATTGGTATATTTAGTTGTTTTACACTCACAAAAAGTAAACCTATCATTCCAGAGGTATTGGCAAATACCTATAGAATGATAGGTTTATTTTTTGTGAGTGTAAAACACTTAAATATGCCAATTCGATGTGCTAATAAAAATTCTTTGAATGGATACGCATAGATATTTTCAAAGTAAAAGTAATGCTTGATGTTTATTCCATTGTGAAAATTAATAGTGTAACTTATTTGTTACAATTAAAAGTCCAATATATTGTATCCATGGTAACTTACCACCCGTGCGCCTGTGTATTTGAACTCTCTGCCTCAGTTGTCGTGTAGCCATATCCTCAAGATCAAGGGCTAGGTCACCACTTTTTTGAAACGTTGCTGGAGTAGGGGGTAGCTGACGTTTTTTAGGAGAAGGGGTTCCTGTTGGGATTCTCTCTACTGAATGAGTTTGATACCTTTCAGAGACGATTGTATTCCCGTGCAAGGGTGAAGAAGACCTTTTATACAACCAGAAATAAACAATAAAAACATGCATAAAGACTTGATGTTTTTATCGACTCGTATGGTTAATCGGTGAACACCCATTACAAATATGACAAAACAACAAACTTATCTAAATGGCAAATCCTAAATAGAGTTTTATCATATTTGTAAAACATAAAATTCTTTAATTCATAGTGTACAATCTTTAACTAGGTTTTATGTATCTCACAACTCCTGTCTTCACCCAGAAGGTGTTGGCTGATCATACCAATATTATAAGAAATTCTCTAAAATACTTACCGTTACATTACTTGTCACAGATAGAGAATGGTAGGCCAGAATATCACAGAAATTTATTTTAGGCCTAGTTACAACTATCACACAAACAAAAAACGCGAGCTTATGTATTTCTTATGAAATAATAAAGAGATAATGAAATCAAGGGAATAAAGGTGTATTTATTTCTACAAACTGCACCAGGCAAAGATATGTTAAACTAAAAATAAAATATAAACGGCATTTAATAAAGTATCAACTGAAATGTCGTGGTACTATTTTCTAGTGAGGATGAGTCCAGGTTTCAGTTAATTATCTCGGAATTAATACACATGTCAAATCTTTTCGATTTCTGAAATATTTAATTCTCACTCTTACTTTATGTTTATAATATTATCACTAAACGTTAAAAAACAAACTTGTCTCTGAAACATTCGTTTATAATCATTAACCATTTGCGATAAATATTCCTGTCAAATTTTTTTCAACTAATAAAGGTGACGTGCCTGCTATTTTAAACTACCGAGATACGCTAACATTCTATTACTCTTCGTATACACATTACAACACTACTCTACACATACGCGTTCTGCCAACAAAGCAGTTTTACAGGGGAATATCTTGTTCGATATTTAGATGTTATCTATGATTAACAATAAAAGCTTTCTATAGGAAAAAAACAAAATAGTTTTATTATTGTTCGTACCTGGGCTTCGAAGGCTAAATAACACAGAAAATTTGCAAAAGAAAAGCTATTAAAACTTAATTGATCGTTTTGGACGTTACTGACGACGTAGACTAGAGGATAACATAAAAACAATTAAAGCAAACGATTTACGCTTCCAATAAGCTTTTTTTAAAGAAAAAAAAGGTTACATTGTACTTAAACGAAAAACTTAGGATAAAAAATTCAAATGTTGTTGCGTTATGGTATGTTAAGTTTTATGGAAAAAGAGAATATTTTATCAACGCAAGTGATGAACAGCATAATTTAATACAAGGCCTACTTTTTCGTAACAAAACAGGTACATTGTCAGTTAACGCGGAATCCCACAAAATGATATCACCAGCACCTTTAGGGATTCATTCAGCCATTCAACGAGATAACAAGATCAAGTGGTATTAAGAACTGAGCTAATAGGTTAACCCACTATCATATTATAATAAGTTACTTTCTTTACACTCACAATGACGCATTCTTTCCCTCCTACAAGCAAGGCTCGTTCTCAGCTCGAACAAAGTTAAAATTATAGGCTATTTGGCGCCTTTTTTTCTGTGAATACCATTAGACGCGTCTTTATAAGCACTAGTTTATATCAGTACTTTACGAGATTTAATTACCCGTCCAGGTAAGTGATTAAAAAAACGTTCAAAAAATTGAACTAAAAATGCCATTCTTAGCAAACTCAATAACGTATATTTTAAATACTCAATTTATCTTAGAAACACACTCCTTTCCTTTGAAAAACAAGGTTTGCTGAAAGGTCAAAGCTGTGGATTGTTGGACACCATTTTTGTGGTATCTTAAAAGGTGTCGTCATCATCAAATAATATACAACAGCACAAAGGCAACAGAATCTGGGGGGGGGGGGACACGTGCTACCCTATTTTGACAAAGTAGCGAAATGCCATTTTAAATTTGGGAAAACAGCTTTTTGTATAACTATAACTGAAAGTTGCTGTTTAAGTTTTGAATTCAGGGGATACGATTAACGTAACAAATAAGGTGCATCCAATTGTTGATACCCCTCCCATAATTCAAACATGTTCCGTCACCTATGCATTAGCACTTACTGAGATTTGATACTCTGTACAAACAAATTCCCAACCAACAGAACAGAAGAATTAACACCTTAGATTAACTATCGTGTAACATCAATAACTACAACTTGTATACAAGAGGTTATTTTCGTTCACAACGAACACCATGAACCCCGTAATAGCTTCAATGCAATAACAAGAAAAACACATCTACAAAGTATTTATAATGCCCGAACAAATAATTCATTTTTTCTTGCATTTTTTAAAGTCACACATATGTCTTACATTACAAATGTTACTTAAAACAAGAGAGATAGAGATGAAATACGGTATTTAAAGTCACACATATGTCTTACATTACAAATGTTACCTAAAACAAGAGAGATAAAATACAGTATCTAAAGTCACACATATGTCTTACATTACAAATGTTACTTAAAACAAGAGAGATAAAATACAGTATTTAAAGTCACACATATGTCTTAGATTACAAATGTTACTTAATACAAGAGAGAGATAAATACAGCAAGTCTAAAAAAATATCTTAATGTCTTCTACTTTTGATAAAACTTATTTTCAACTTATTTAAAAATTTCATGTATATTATTGCTTTTCTTTGAAAATCACATATCGTTTTTAATCGAAACCTTTAAATATTACAAATAGCCAAGTTATGTTCTGATCAGTATACATAGTAGTATAAACCTTCGTGTACAACTCATGATGCCTGAGAACGAAAGCGATTTGCTTAAATATTTAAGTAATTATAAATTAACCACATAATCAATAGACGCGGTGCCTCATAGAATATTAAGTTGTTGTTTTTTTGCTTACTACCGCTAAAACTCTATAAATACTCTTGTATAAGTTGCACTGTGACTATAATGATTATGCGTGAACGATTAATGAGATCACTAAGATAAAATAAATAATATGTTAACTAGATGTACTTCCGCAGGGTCCTCGATAGTCTTCTCTTTTTCGAGAATAATTAAAACCAAAATTAAGAGTAACACCTATTATCATTTCTTGCTTTTGAAGTTCATATGTCATACTGTGTCGTAGCCTACAGAGTGTATAATTCTTATCGTGATTCATAACATGCGCACGTTTTACTAACGTCACGACAGCACAAATTACAACGTTAAATGTCCCGTATGTGACGTCATTTTAATGTCTACTGACTGACTGACAGACATCACACTACTGTACAGTGATGCGAGTGGTTAAAACAGGTGACCCCTCCAGGCGCCCTTCGGCTCCTTTCGGGGAAATAACAACTTCCGAATCTTTCACTTGATTTACAATGTTCAGTAAAACAGAAATAAAACAGTATTCACGTATTTTCTCATGTTTTTCTCTAATTCGAAAACCATAACATAGATAAATCAGCTTATTTGTCGCGTAAAACTACACAAAGGCCTGTATGCACTAGTCCCAAATTCTGAATTGACAGGCTAGATGGAAGGCAGGTAGTTCACAGCACTCACCGTCAACTCTTTGGCTACTCTAATCAAATGGTAATTTGATCGTTACTCTGATAGTGCATCTACGGTCCCATCTACGGAGCGCAACTTATCGGCAATGAGATGCAAACCATGAGCCCTAGAATTACAGTTCGGTACGCTAACCTTTCAGCCACACCCAACTTAGACGGATTAGTAAAATGAGAGGTTTGGAACATATAAATTAAGATATACGGTTTTGAAAGTTTCCACGGTTATACTTCAAATTTAGTAACCTTCTATTAGGTGGGGATAACGACCTTGAAGTGTACTCTACTCCCCGCCGTGAATAAGGTGGACGGTCACTGGGAATAATAGAAGGTGGTCGCCCTCTGGTGGCAGAGGGAATAGAGTCCTCTCCTCTGTAATGTTCGTCCCACTGGTGGTCATATCGGAGCTCCTCCCAAGGAGATGCTATAGTAATAAAAGTAAACGTAATGGTTAAAACTTACAGACAATACTTGTGAATGTTATCAAACGTGGTATCTTAAAACATTTACTGGTGTTTGTCCACTTGAAACGGACAATTATTTACGACAAAAATTACACCTATTTTAATGCATACCTTAAGCGGATTGCTGACATATATATTACAATTTTTACATAATAAACTTAACTAGAAATAATTCTAACTCGTTTTTTTTTCTTTGTGACTTTTATTGCCCCGTTAATCAAACGTTAAGGTTCACATTTTTTTCAACAAAACAGACACTTTTATGTTGTTTGTTTGTAATTAAGCACAAAGCTACACAATGGGTTATCTGTGCTCTGCCCACCACGGGTATCGAAACCCGGACTCTAGCGTTTTTTTTAATGTAATAAAGTTTACGTTTCCGAATACAAGTATTTTACACAGGTTACGCTACAACGTTTACTATTCACAGCTTATTAGATACAACAGAATTTGTTCAACATTACAAAATTTCGTGGACAGAGCTAACAAACTCACTCTCATTAGGCTCGGCATGGCCAGGTGGTTAGGGCGCTCGATTCGCAATCTGCGGGTCGCGGGTTCGAATCCCCGTCACACCAAACATGCTCGCCCTTTCAGCCGTGGGCGCGTTATAATGTGACGGTCAATCCCACTATTCGTTGGTAACAGAGTAGCCTAAGAGTTGGCGGTGGGTGGTGA